TATTTCTTATGTTATCTATCTATCTGTATAAATACATATCAAATATTAGCATTCTGGTGTAGTTTCCCTAGAGAACCCTGTCTAACACATGGCGTGATGCCGAAGCCTGGCTGTGCCACCATCAGGTCAGTGCTCAGGCCGTGGGACAGCCAGCTGGGAAATGGGGCCCCCTGGGAAATCCACGCTGAGGAATCATGCCAACAGCGTCTGTTGTCTGGACCACTCGCTGGCCAGACCTGTCATGCCACCTGCATTGCCTTAGCAAACGAGGGCAGCGGGTATGCTGCGTCGCAACTACATCTGTTGACCAGCGAGGTTAGGCACAGCACTGCCTGGGTTTGCCACCGTGACACCCTGAATGTGCCTGGCGCTCCGCAGCCTTGTCAATAATCCAACGACGCGCGTTAGGCTCCTGAAAGGGAGTCTTTCGTTGACTCTGCTAAATCTCCTATTTCAGGACTTCACACAATGTCCCCCATTCTGGTTAGTGTTCTGGATTACCCAAATTTTAAAAGTTCTGGTCCACTCCAGATTTGCTCTTTTAACCACAAATGATCTGGCCCAAAGCCCTGCCCCCAAACAGCCCCCTAACTGGGCTCCCTGTTTCTACTCTTGAGGTTCAGGCTCTCCACCACAGGTAGGAAGTGACTTCAAAAACCTGGCCCTCGTTATGGCCCTCCCCTGTGGTGCTTCCAAATCAATCCAAACCCTACATCGGATCCACAAGGCGCTGCAGTACTCACTCCCATTGTCCGCCCAGGCTGGCCCATGCCCTCAGGAGCACCACAGGCCCGCGTGCTTTCTTTCCCTCTAGCATGCACGCTCTCCCCAGTCAGAGCGTGTGCAGAGGCGGTTCCTCTCTCAGGAGCGCTCTTCTCCAGGGGCAGGGGTGGTCTCCCTTCTTGGTCTGCAGATCTCTACTTGGACTTCTCCTCATTCTCCTTCACAGGCCCTGCTATGTCCTTCACCGCACTTGTCATGCTGAAAGTATCTACTTTGTTTTACGTGTTTAGCACATATACGAGGTGGTACCCCCAAAATGAAATTGCACTGGGCTAAGTAGACTTTCCTAGTATGCACTGTTCCCCGCTGGGCGAGCATCCACCGACTCGCTCTGAGTTAATGCACCCAGTGGCGTCGCCTGGAATGGTTCTCTCTGCTCACAGTGAATTTTTCTGTGTGTGTGTGTGTGTGTGTGTGTGTGTGTGTGTGTGTGGTGTTTTGGTTTTTTTTCAGTGAATTTTTCATAAAAGCAGTTTCACTCAAACCTCATTTTTTGGGGATGGCCAATTTAAGAGAACAGCATGTGGATGTGAAATTTTGTTTCCTGCTTGGGCAAAATGCCACAGAAACTGTTGTGATGTTGGACACAGCTTATAAGGACAGCACCATGGGAGAAGCTCAAGTGCACAAGTGGTCTTCTCGTTTCAAAGAAGGTGAAATGACGTCAATGGCAAACCTTGTTCTGGAGGTCCATCAACTTCCCAAATGGACAAAAATGTCAACTCATAGGGCATTTGGATTTTGTTTTGGGGGTGGAGGGTCTCCAACTTGTTCAGGTAGGAGCACGTCTGCCAGTTATGTGTTCTCTGTAAAATGCCACGTGGGCAGTCCTATTCCTGTATTGACGGCCTGCGGCCGCTCTCATACCACAACGGCAGAGGGGAATAGTTACAACAGAAACTTACCTCTTGCAAAGCCTACAATACTGGCTTTCTGGCCTGTGTGCTAGCTCATCCCCTTCCTGGTCGGATGAGTAATCCATAGCCAGGCTCCAACTCAGAGACTTTGTAAAAGCCTTTGCAGTGTCCCGGGCCTGTCTCTTCTTGTTGGAAGGAATACACCCTTCTCTCTTCCATATTGCATTTCACTGAGTTCTTTCTTCTTTTCTAGTGGTTTGTTGGCGCACAGAAACAGGATTGCGTAACGCTGTTACAGTACATGCAACATTACATCCTGTTGTCTGGACGCTCGGCTCAGGGAGTGGCTTGAGACCTAGGTCAATGGCAGTTCTGCCTCAGCGGGTGCTTCCACGACCAACAAGCAAGAGAAAGAGCGACGGCAGGTCGCACACGGGAACGCTGAGGTCCTAGCATGTACTTTAAAGAGAACTTTCCAGTGTTACAGCTCTTTTAGAATTTGTCTAGCAGGTTTTCTGGTTCCTACCAGAAAGCACCCCACACCAAAAAAAAAAAAAAGAGACCTTTCGTCTTGTTCTCAGAAGATACAGGTTCACATGAAGCTACACATGCTTCATGTTCACCCGATTCCATTCTCTTCTCGTGTTCTCAGCTGTTTCATGCCCAGCTTTTCCTCCTCTGGCCTTGACAGTCAGTCTTCCGGAATCGAACATGGGCCTTCCTTTTCAATCCTCAGCCCAGGACCACCCCACATGGATTTTCACAACCTGGCGGCCCCGCAGCCCCTAGCAGTAGGTTCACTTAGGTGCTTAATCATACGGCTTTGTTGAAGAGCTCAAAGTACCAAACAGACTGATTCCATGAACCAGTCAACGATAAAGACCAACAGCTATGGAACTTGGGCTGAGTGAGTTCTCTTCTCTGCACCTCAGGCTCCTCATCTGCAAAATGTGGATTACAACCTGTTCCTCGTAGTGCTTCTATGAGACATTCTGGAGATATTATGTGCATGGAGCAGGCCTCCATCAATACTGATCCTCTCCTTCACTCTCTCCTCTGGTTAAGCTGGAGTCTCCGAGGCTTTGTTGTTGTTGTTAGAGGCTGTCGTGTCAGTCCCAACAGAACGAGACACCACCCAATCTGGCGTCATCCTCACGATTGTTCTGCTGTTTGAGCCCACTGTTGCTGCCTCTGTGGCAATGCACCTTGCCAGGGCCTTCCTCTATTCTGCTGACCCTCCACTTTACCAACACGCTGTCCTTCCCAAGGACTGCCCTTTCCTTACAACACGTCCAAAGTACATGAGGCAGAGTCTCGCCATCCTTGTCTCCAAGGCGCATTCCGGTTGTACTTCTTCCAAGACAGATTTATTTGTTCTTTTTGCCGCCCATGGGACTTTCAATATTCTTCAACAGCACCATAACTGAAATATACTCGGAATCATTAATGGTACACTAAGTAAGCTGAAACAAATACAGTTGTGTGTCACTTAATGTCCACCATGTATTCTGGAAAATATGTCCCGTGATCTGGAAATTGTGCAAACACCATATTAAACCCTTACAGGAGCCCAGTTCCGGTTGTCCTCATCCTTGAAGCTGCTGAGGGAGCCGCTGCTGGAGGCCGGAGGAAGAGGAAGTGAGCGAGTGGGAGCAGAGTGTACCCAGCCTTGCCCAATGTTCTGCCAGTCTGAGCGGCTGGAGCAGCCAAGGCCCTAGTCCCACTGCCGCCACCACCACCACCTGCCTACCAGACAAAGTCCAAGTGCCCCCCAAAGAGCCATGTCCTCTGCCTCAGCTGCCAGGACCCCACCCATGATCCAGAGCAGCAAGAGTCTGAGTTCTGGGCATTTAAAACCATTCAAGAAAAAAACAAACTACGATGAAACATACAACTTTCCTCTAGTTCCTAAATGTTTCCTCCTCCCCCCCCACCCCCACTGTCATAATCCCAATTCTACTTTACAAATCTGGCTAGCCCAGAGGATGTACACTGGTACAGATAGGAACTGGAAACACAGGGAATCCAGGGCAGATGATCCCTTCAGGACCAGTGGTGAGAGTGGAGATACTGGGAGGGTAGAGGGAGGGTGGGTTGGAAAGGGGGAACTGATTACAAGGAACTCTATGTGACCTCCTCCCTGGGGGACAGACAACGGAAAAGTGGATGAAGGGAGACGTCAGACAGGGCAAGATATGACAAAATAATAATTTATAAATTATCAAGGGTTCATGAGGGAGAGGGTAGTGGGGAGGGAGGGGGAAAAAGAAGCTGATGCCAGGGGCTTAGGTGGAGAGCAAATGTTTTGAGAATGATGTGGGCAATGAATGTACAAATGTGCTTTACACAATTGATGTATGTACGGATTGTGATAAGAGTTGTATGAGCCCCTAATAAAATAATTTTAAAAAGAAAAGAAAAAAGCAAACTGAAGGAAAGCTGTTCTCCCTTAAAGAAAAACAAAGGAAAAAATTGTATGGAACCATGAACAATTTCTTGGGGGGAAAAAATTACCACTGAAAAATAATGAAAATTTCCCTTCAACTTGCTAAAGCCCCTCATATGTAGTCAGATATGACCCTAGTGGATGGTAAGTAATGTACCTCTATGGCTCTTGCTATGGGGACAGGCCCTGGAAATTGTTTCCACACCTATTGATAGTGATGGCCCTGACATTGTGTGTGACACCCTCCACAGCTCATCCCAGGGACAACAGAAAAACAGGAAGGCCCAAGCGTCTTTCTGGTTCCTGTTGGTCTCTCCCCTGCCTAGACTTCCTGAACAGCTCCAACTCGGCCTCGCCCACCAGCCCTGCTTCTCAGCTCCCAACCCCATGTCGCCACACTTCTCTTCTGACTTCCTCACCTTTGGGGCTGTGACTGAGAGAATAAACTCAGTTCCCTTGGCTCCTGCTTTCACTAGGTGATGTTCAAAAAGGGGGACCCTTAGGAAGGGAGAGGTGTGAACCAATACATGTCCCCACTCACGCTGGAATAAGTGAGTAGAGCAAGGTGTGTTCATTGTCACAGTCAAAGAAGACCAATGTACAGGGACTAGTACAGGTTGTTCCATGAAACCAAGACCAACACCGTGAACGCGATCAAGGATTCGCTCTTCAGAGTGCTGTTTCGTGAACTCAGTAGTGCTTGTCCTTGTCTGTCCATGAAGTACCGATAATATCATCTCCCTCTAACCAGATCGTCATCGTAACCGAACCCAACCAAACTCACTGCCATCAAGTCGATGCCACCGGACAGGGTAGGACTGCTCTTGTGGGTCTATGAGCCTGTAGTTCTTGACAGGGGCCGAACGCTTCGTCTTTCTTACCATCACCACCCTAGTGACCCTATCGTGATGATCTGGTTAGTGGGGAGCAGAATCAACTCGATGGCAGAGAGCTTAGCTTGGTTTCCACCAACAGACATAAAGATCTAGGAAAGTCACTTCCCTTTCTGCGCCTGCTCCAGGAGAACAAAACTCCAAATTCCCACGTTTTCAAAACTATTCTAAAATCATTTTAGTTCCTGAATGTTTTGGACAAAATTTTAGAAGGCAATTCTTAGGGTTTAGGTCTTAATTTCAAATAAAGGTAGACTGACTTCCAAACATAGCCAGTCATTCGACCTGCTTTAAAACACAATGCTTTTGTTTTGAGAAACGATGTACATATGCGCTTTACACAATTGATGTGTGTATGGATTGGGATGACAGTTGTATGAGCCCCTAATGAAATGTTAAAAAAATAAATAAATAAAACACAGTGCTGTCCATCAAAAGTCGTACTAGCTGTGTGTTCAGCAAACAGAAAAGAACCGGATTCTCTATGAAATAGAGCAGAATTGTACAGTAGGGTCTCCTAGGATGCAAATGCAACGGAAGCAGCCTGCCTCTCTTTCTCCTATGGTAGGATCAAACCACTAACCTTTGGTTAGCAGCCCAACCCTTAAGCCCTGCACCCCTAGAGCTTCTTATAAAACCCTGAATTCTTTTTTGAAATCATGATTATGCTTCCTTTGCTTGGAAAATTTTGTTTTCTGGGTCTGGCTAGGGCAGAATTGAAAATTCAGTATCTGTAGAATTCCACTATCAGTGGAATTGTTATGATGGAGCAGGAGGTACGTCAGAGAGGCATTTGAAAAGTTCAGGCTGGATGCACATAGAGGAACCGGATGCAGAGTTTACAGTCACTTTCACAAGGCCTGTTGACAACTTCATTAAGAGGGAGGCTCCTATTGCTTCATATTAAATTGTGCAATGCTCTGAGCATCCTTCTCTTTTTCAAGCTTATAGTTTTGAAGACCAGAGGTCTGTTGGGAAATAGACTGAATGAGGAGTTAGGATACTGGGTCCTCATTGCAGTTCTGTGTCTGCAGGTTCTGACACTAGACAGGACAGTTTCCTTCCTGAGCCAGATGAGGGAACTGACGTTCTGTTGACCATATCTGGCAAATAATGGTTGTACTGCATCCCACGAGGGCTGAACTAGCTTGGACATAGGTTATCACCCTAGAGTGTTAGAACTGGACAGGACTCTTTAGTAATTAGAAGAGTCATTTCCCCAGACAAGAGAATGACCTGCCTGAGGTTACACAGCTTATAATTAGAATGAAATTAGAATCCAGGTTTCCTTATACTCTGTTCAAAAATTGAAAAGAAAGTACATTTCCTCTCCCTTGCATTGCATACCTCCCAGAGACAGTGCTGAGTCTGGACACTCATCAAAGCTGCTCTGGATCAGTAGTTAAGACCGTCTACTCTCGGCATGAACAATTCTGCTCGCACCAGTAGCATCTCTGAGATGTGAAACATGCGGTTATGAGCCAGTCTTTCCTCAAAGCTGCCATCGAAGAGCAGGAGAGAAATGGGGTCCATGTTCCCTAGGCTATCCTCACTTTGGAGTCTCGAGGAAGAAGACATTGGGGGTGAGTTTCTCAGAGATCACATCATCTCATTTTCCAGGTTACTGAATCATCCACTGAATTTAGTAGGAGGATCCAGGAGTGTGGGGAGGGCAGGGAATGCGAGGACAGAGGAGTTCAGGGGAAGAAACTTCCAGGCTGCATTGGTGCTCCTGGTACCTGGTCCTTTCCAGTGTGCACACAGAGAGGGCTCTGCATCGGGGATCAGCACCCAGCACCTCAGTAGCATGCGGTTAAGCAGGTAACTTAGATTCAATTCAAGTCACCCAGTTTGGAATGTGAACAAACAAGATTAAATGAAAATGAGGGTGCTAGATAAACCCCAAACACCATGCACATGGTAGAGATTAGCATTCCCACATCCCCACCCCACCCCACCCCCGGCCTGGTATCTTCTTGGATCATCTCCAAAGCCCAGCTCAAATGTCACTTCCAAAGATCCAGTCAGACCAACCTGGGTTCAAATTCTGGCTCCACCACCGATTTGTCATGTGACCTTGAACAAGTGATGTCATTTCTTCACCAGTTTCCTCCCTTACAGGGGGGCGGGGTGTTGTATTAATAACCCTTTCGTAGGGTGACTGGGGATAGAAACAAAAGGCACACTTGCAAAGACCCCAGCATAGTGCCCAGCGGAAGGCAGGCACTCTGTAAATGTTAAACGACTATCAAAGGCACCAGATACATCCATCTCTCGGGGTCGAACCTAGAACTTTCTACTCTGCAGCCCTGACTTCCCCTGCCCTGTTCACCCAGAAACGCTGGCCAGCCTGCCCTTACCTTGTTGATGTCACCTAGGGCCATGACCTTGACCATGGGCCCCCGGCTAAGCTGCTCCTTCACCCAGAGCTCCAGCTGCTTGTTCCATTTCATGGTGAACACATAGAAGGCATAGGCCAGCAGCAGCAGCAGGCTCTCCCACCAGGCAATGCGGCTGTCTAGGAAGAAGAGGATGAGCATCATCAGGTCAAAGATGTAGAAGGAGACGTCACGAAACAAGGGCCACCAGGTGAGATGGAGGACTTCCTGGGAGAAGAGGGCGCAGGTGCCGATGACGAAGAGGATGTTGAACACAGCGGAGCCCACGATGGTGCCGATGCCCACATTGCTATGAGAGATGAAGACCCCGATGAGGGAAGTGAACAGCTCAGGGGCAGAGCCCCCAGCAGCCATGAACGTGGCCCCTGCCACGTCCTCAGAGATCTGCAGCTTGTCGGTGATGACGCCCAGGGCTGGGACGAAGAACTCGTCACACACGATAGCCAAGGCCACAAACACATACATCATGCCGAAGACATGCAAGACCACCCAGCCCTGGCGCCGCTCCTGCACACTGAACAGGTCTGGTGGATACTCGGCCTTGGGGTGGAGGTCTGGTTCATGGGAAGGCAGCAGTGAGGGGCTGGGACTGGGCTCCTCTGCTGTTGGGCTGGGAGAGGGGGTGGTGAACACAGCTGGCCCTGGCATCATAACCACATAGTGATGAATGTGGGGTGTCGGGGTGACCCTGACCCTGGGGGTCACTGAGGTGCTGGGTGCTGGCCTCTGAAAGGTGGCAGTGGGCATTCTGGCCGTTGGTACCCTGGTGCTGGGGGAAGAGTTCCTCCGAGAGGCAGTGGAGGCTTTGGTTCCCGCCGGGCTGCTGGCTGGGCTGTAGATCATCCCCAAGGGCCCCTCAGAGATGGCTGGGGTACGCTCCAGGGCTGCCCTCGGGGCAGTGGTCACATGGTCCTTTCCCACTAGCCACCAGGGTTTGGTTATGCTGGTATTTCTTACTCCTCTGGGGGTAGTCAGCCTGTTCTTCTCCACTAGAGTCCTTGGAGAAGTCAAGATGCTGGTTTGTATCTCACTCCTCAGGAAAATGGGGATGTCGTCGACTAGTCCCTTGAAAATAGTGGGAGTATTTCCCTCCACTGTTCTCTTGTGAGTGTTGGTCCCCATCCTGCTGTCGGGTGCCATAGTTCTGCCAGCCCTCGCTGTTGTTTTGGGGGTGTTCACATGGCTCCTCTTCATGGTCACAAACAAGAATGAAGTATCATTGTCTGCTGTTCGACCTGGTAGGTGTGGGGGGTGCTTCTTCCCCTTGGCTCTGTTTTGAGTGGGGTCGTGGCTCTTCCTTTCTGCCCTGGGTGTTGTTGGGGTGGAATTCCGTCCTGTTTGTCTGCTTGCAGTTACGGTATCGTGCCGCAGTGCTCTCCTGGATGCGGTCGGGGTCTCCGCCCTCACTCTCTCTGCGCCTGCTACTGCCAGGGTGTAGCGATTCGTAGGCTTTGTTGGAGTGATCCTGACTGTTCTTCTGGGCGGAGTGGGAGTGTTCTCCATGGTTCGGCTAAGTGCTGCTTCCTGTCTGCTCACTGTGGTCGGCAGTACCAGCAGCCCCCCCTCCGTGTTAGAGGTCCTTGCTGAAGGACCCCTGCTCATCGTCACCATCTGACCATCTAAGAGGTCCTGGCTAGCCAGTTTTACACGGTGTCTAGCAGAGACAGCTTCTCCTAGTGTGGGGAGACCCCCCGAGTTCCTCAGGTGCTGATAGGTAGACCCAATGAGCAACATTCCCAGTAGGAAGAAGAGGCGACCCCAGGGAAGCCGTTTGGACTGGTATAACCGCCGTTCCGGTACCCCCATCCTGATCAGTCTCCCCATGGTGGCCAACTGTCTGGTTACAAAAGACTTCTCATCCTGTCCCTGGAAGGCGGGGGCTGCTCTGGGATTTGGGTTGGAGATTGGGGGCGCTTTCACCATGAAGCCCAGGCAGGTGGTAGCCACAAGCCTTTAGAGGAGAGAAAGAGAGAGAGGTTATTGGACCTTGAGGATACACCACACCCGCATCTAGTGAGGATGGAAGCCCCTGGGACGTAAAAGTGTCATGCAGGGGTGTTTTGTTCTGGTGTGTTCCAACTTCTCAGTTGGAACAAGGTCATCCCACCCCCTGCTCTGGAGAGGCATGCCTGCTCTTGGGAACAAGAATGCCAGGGGCCTCTGGGCTAGCTTCCCTTTCTGTGTGGGCAGCAGCAGCCCACAGTCCTGAGCTGAGCGCTGGGTGCTCGGTGCAGGCCCTCCGGTTCTTCTTGGACTCTGCGAAAGCACTCATCAGTCAGGCTCCGAACCCGAGTTGCCGGGAGCTCAGTCACCATGGTTGGTAGCCCAGGCCATAGATCTCACCTCCTGAAAGGTGTGACGGAGGGAGGCAAGATTTTAAATTATATAAAAAGAGAAAGCAGTAGGCATTGTCAAGAAAATCTAGCTCCTTGTGTTGTTTCTCTGGCTTTTGACTGACAGAAATTCCACTACATAAACCAGAGAAGAGAAGAGCCTTAGAGTGAGTGTCATGGAGTTCCCCAGAGTGAGTGAGTGAGTGAGTGAGTGAGTGAGTGAGTAAGTGTGTGTGTGAGTGGGGGGGCTTAATGGGAGGATATGTAGAATGGAGTCAGAGGCCTAAATTAGCAACCGCATGCTAGCACAGAGTTGATTATACAAATAGTATGTGTACAGAACTACGTACTCTGTGATGGTTAGGATGCAGGAGGGAAGAACATGAAAGACCCTAAAAATAAATTAAATGAAAAAATTATATGAAGACCATGAAACCCAACCCAACAAAATATTTAACACACTCGATCCATGTCCGCAGATTTATAGAACTGCAACTAGAATGTGTGGGCCTGCATATGATAATAACAAATTAGAAGTGAGGTGAGCAGGCCGTAGAATCTTAGTGGTAAAGGTTGAATTATAAACTCTGTAGTGCAACCCCTTATTTGAAACAAGTCCAGAGAGAAGTGACTTGCTTGGCGTCACACAGCTAGTGAGTAGCCGGGCAGATGAGTCTCCTACCTCCCAGTCTTCCCAGCATACCACACTACTGCAAACACAACTGTACCCTCCTTCCAGTAGGAGAAAGAAGGAATAAGTTAACTTCCCCCGTAGTCCTGGATTCTTATTTTCTTTCTACCAGCTCCCTGCTCCCTGCCAAGAACACAGCATTTGAGGGTAAGCCCACTTGAATCTCCTAAGGCAATTTCAGAGGGTTCCTCTGGCAGGTGTCCTTGTGCTATGTCACAGAGCCTTCTACTGCTTTCTCTTTTTATATAATTTAAAATCTTGCCTCCCTCTGTCACACTTTTCAGGACTGAGCTCCCGGCAACTCAGGTTCGGAGCCTGACTGATGAGTGCTTTCGCAGAGTCCAAGAAGAACCGGAGGGCCTGCACCGAGCACCCAGCTCAGGACTGTGGGCTGCTGCTGCCCACACAGAAAGGGAAACTAGCCCAGAGGCCCCTGGCATTCTTGTTCCCAAGAGCAGGCATGACCCTCCAGAGCAGGGGGTGGGATGACCTTGTTCCAACCCAAACAATCTCCCTTCAACTATAAAACACCCCTGCATGACGTGTTTATGTCTCAGGGGTTTCCATCCCAAACCCCCGCTGAAACCCTTACCTAATCATGTTATTTACCTTCGCACCTCTGCATCTGGGGGTCTGCTCAGTTCTGAAAACCCATTGGAATCCAGAGTCTCAAAGAGTGGGTCTGCAGCTGGCCAGCCAGGAACATCCCATTTTTCAGCCCCCGGTTCACCTATGGAACCCTATTCGCAGCAGGGTCAGGTGTGAAGGGCATATCCAATCCCAGCTAATACCTGCCTCCCCTAAGAAGCTTACCAGGGCATTGTACAAGTTCTGGGTCCCAGTGCCTCTGACAGAGCCTGAGGGGTGGACCTGCCAGGGACACACACAGGGGCTCTCTGTGGGCTCTCAGAACGGGAGAACTTCTCCAAGTTTTCCTGGCCCAGGGTCTCCCTGTTGAAACCCATTGCCATCAAGTCAAGTCTGGATCACAGTGACTCTATGGGCAGAGTAGAGCTCCCCTAGGATTTCCAAGGCTGTACTCTTCAAATAAGTAGACAACCACATCTTTCTCCCATGAGTCACCAGTAGGCTCAAAACACTAACCTTTCTATTAGCAGCCGAGCCTTTAACCACTGAGCCACCAGGACTTTTTTCCTACTCACCAAAAACCCCAAGCCCACCCTGTAGGGCAGCGTAGAACTGCTCCTTAGGGTTTCCAAGACTGTCAGTCTTTACAGGAGCAGAAAGCCTCATCTTTCTCTCGAGGAGTAGCTGCTAGATTTGAGCCATCGACCTTGTGTGATTAACAGTCCCACGCTTAACCCTATGTGCCACCAGGACTCCTTTTAAGAGGCACAAATACTTAGGACCATTCAGAAGACCCTCCAAATGAGAAAGTGATTGGGGCTAATAAGAGATCAGAAAGCCTAATTTAGCATCTAGAATCCACTAGGTGCTTACTAACAGTGTGATTCCCATACCTGTCTTAATTCTTTAAAGGGTGGATAAAAGAATCAAAATAAAAGCTGAGAGAATGTGGGGCAGTACTTTGTAAGGTAACGTATTTCTCACATGAATATTTTAATAATCAGAACTAAAGGAAACCCTTGGGGAAGAAGACAATGGTGTATCTCCCAGAGCAGCTGGGATCTCTGGAGACACCCTCCTCACACTCTGGCCAATGACTTAAAACCTCTGAAGTGGGAGAGAGATGGAGCAAGGTGCAGTTTCATGCCCAGCCCGATGACCTGGAAGCCACTTCAGTCAATTGATATTACTGATTGTCCCCTTCCTCCTATCTCGAAAGGCACAGAGGAGGCACGATGCTTTGAATTACCTTCGTCTGACATGTTGTTCTTGTTGTTAGTTGCCAGTAAGTAGGCTCCCAACTCATGGCCACCCCAGGCAAAAGGGACCATCCCCGTGATTGGTTACAGATCAGATTACTATGAGCCAGAGAGTTCTCACTAATTTTTGAAAGTAGATTGCCAGGCCTTCCCTCCTAGTTAGTCTGGAAGTGCCACAGAAACCTGTTCAGCATCTTAGCAACACACAAGGCGCCACTGATAAAGGAGGTGCACTGGCTACGAATCAGACCTGTCTCCTGAACGAACACGGAAAACCCTACCACTGAGCCACCGACTGCCCTAACTCATCTGAAGCAGCAGGTAAATTCACCCAGCCTGCTCACTTCCCTGAGAGGTGGAAGGCCCCTGCCCCACCCGGCTCGGGCCGGCACGTAACAACCTTCACCTGACCCAGAAAATTCCCCCGCCTTCAATGGGCTAGTTCTTCTATTATTAAGGCAAGGTCAGTACAATATAAAACTATCAAGGGAGAAGTGGATGCTCAGAAAAGATCCATTTCTACCACAGCTGTCACGGAGGAGTTCTTCTTACAGTTGGTCAAATCTAAATCCACTACTGGAGGAGAGCCCTCTGGCTTGCACTCATGGGGGGTTTACAATTCAACAAGCCATCGGAACAATGAGGCTCAAACGAGAGAGGAAACACCACCTTTACCAGCTCGACCAGTTTGGGAAGTTTTCTCAGAGCTTTCGTTTTTTCATCTATAAAATGGTGATCATGACACTAATTGCCTCCTAAGACTGTGTTGAGGATTAATAAATGCATGTGTAAAGTATACTAACCAGGCATAGTACCGGTTTTTATTGTTATTGTTACTCTTACCCTGTTTGGGAGGGTAACACTACAATCAGGTGGTGTTGGCGGGGGGCAGAGGACCCCACACATTCTATTGTTAGTTACCACACTCGACTGAGGATGAGGGTAATTTAAAAAAGTATTGCTACAAAATCAGAGCCATTTTTATTAAACAAAGAGACCACAACGTGAAGCTATTATCTCAACATAGCCTCCTTCTCGGTCGACAGTCTTTTGAGGAGGTGTTTCCACCTCTCCCAACTCTTCCTCCGAGAATTCTGTGCCCTTCGATCTACGCTGCATCCGAACAGCAGCTACGGCGGCGTCCTCGGCCGCAAGTCACGGCCCTCTTCAGTGTTCTTTGAGTGCAGAGAAAGGAAAGGGCCTGAAGGGTCAGGGTCAGCGTTGCAGGTAAATGGGTGAGGGTGTCCCATGAAATGCTCATGGGACAGCTGTTGCTACATTAGCAGAGCGGGTAGGTGCAGTGTCAGGATGGGGGTGGGGTGGGGGAGAGAATTCCTCAGCAGAACTTTCCTGAATTTTTCTCATCAATTCAGTTTCCAGTTTTCTTAAAACATCTTCATAACAAGTCCCTTGATCCCCCTCTGCCTTTGAAGGAAGATCCATGGACATCATCCCTGTGAAACCCAAAATGTAACTGTCATAACCTTGGGGCCGCCTTCTTTGCCCAGAATTTAACTGGCTCGTCAGATTCCCTAAGAAGTCACTATTTTGACTGGGCCTGTTTGGGATAGCTTGTGATGGCAGAGGCGTGTTTAAACATGTTTTGCTTGGAGTAAGCCCATGCATGCATGAACTGGAACCTAGAAGCATATTTGAAGTCCTTGGGAGGTTGTGGTAGTCACCTAATCTGGTGTCAATTTAAGGATTAAGAGTGTAGGGGTGGAGTAGTCTAGGCTGTCAATCTGGAGATAACCAATGAGACTTCTATGTGGGCATGGCCTGCTCTTGAGAATTCTGGTACTTCCTCCTTGGTGGCAGAAGACACCTCTGTCTCTCCACCTCTCTTTCTGCTACTCCCTGGGAGACATTACAGAAGACAAGCCACATGGACCCAACCAGACCTCGGAAGCTGGAGAAGCCACAGAGAGACCCCTGCCAGTACTGAGATACTTACAATGCCACTGGACCCAAAGACTTTCCACCCACTGGCTTGTGATTGTCCTGCATTTGGCTTCATTGCATGTGTTTCGTGAGTCTGAAGAGGACTTTATGGATTGGTATCAGACATATGGGCTAATAT